GACTTGCACACTTCAATGCCAGAGTTCCTGAACCAACATGACTGGAGAAGGAATTCTGGGAGTTGAAGTCCACAAGTCTTAAAGCTGTCAAGTTTGAACATCCCTTTTTTTACTAAAGAGTTAGGGGTGCAAGGGTCTTGTAACTTGACAGATTTAAGACTTGCACACTTCAGTGCCAGAGATCCTGAGCCAACATGACTGGAGAAGGAATTCTGGGAGTTGAAGTCTATAAGTCTTAAAGCTGTCAAGTTAGAATATTCCTGGGGGTTTTTTTCTAAAGGGTTAGGGGTGCAAGGGTCTTGTAACTTGACAGTTTTAAGACTTGCACACTTGAGTGCCAGAGATCCTGAGCCAACATGACTGGAGAAGGAATTCTGGGAGTTGAAGTCTACAAGTCTTAAAGCTGTCAAGTTACAAGACCCTTGCACCCCTAACTCTTTAGTAAAAAAAGGGATGTTCAAACTTGACAGCTTTAAGACTTGTGGACTTCAACTCCCAGAATTCCTTCTCCAGTCATGTTGGTTCAGGAACTCTGGCATTGAAGTGTGCAAGTCTTAAATCTGTCAAGTTACAAGACCCTTGCACCCCTAACCCTTTAGAAAAAAACCCCCAGGGATATTCAAACTTGACAGCTTTAAGACTTTAAGGTTTAGATAAGACTCTTAGAGGCGTGCGGGGTGATTGGTGAGCCAGCCAATGAGTGAACGGTGGACGGGACAAGAATGGTGCGACCGGGCGGGGGGAGGGAACTGGAACCAGTTCTAAATGGCATGGTAGATTTGTGGAATCTGTTTTATAGAAGAGAACTGGCAGGAACCCACCCCTGCTTTGGATATAATGTAGTTGCTTATATTTTATTTGCTTTCATTTATTCTGCTTCTAAAATTAAAGTTGCCAAAAATGCGTGGGGAAACAACTGGTCTTTAAAGGGGGAATAGAGAAGTCCCACAAAAAGATATAAACCTACAGTTTCTCATAGATTTCCATTTTTAAAGAAGTGTTCATCAAATACTTGTCATACATTTTACTAATTTTCTAAAGCTAAAAGTGGTAAAAAGTCTGCTTTGTGAAAAATTAATATACTTTTGTGTGTGCTGTGTATCAGAATGATACATATTTATAGCATTCACACCCCTAATGACAGACAGCTTGACAAAAACTGAAAAATATATGCATAAATACATAGAGCTTAAAATCACCAAAAATGACAATTTATAATGTATGGTTAGAATTTTAAAACTTGTTTATAATATGAAAATAAGGATTTGCAAGCTGTATACTACTCAGAATGAGCTAAATAAAGTGGCATATAAGACCTATACATAAATAATAGTAGTATGCTACTTTGTCTTACTTTGGGAAAGAAAGTGCGAGTCACAAAGTATTTATATTCAAGAAATGGAATTCCTTGGCTGCGATTTAACTCCTTGGTAAGATCTGTCATATCTGTCTGAAGTTCAGCAAAACCTGATTGAAGGAAACCATAATGAAGAGAATAAACCACTTTCATTTCAATGTATAACTTGTTCTGAATATACCAACGGTGCAAATTTTTCATGTTAATTATCTCCCAAACAAAATCCCTTTATACTAGGCAGATTAATGGGCTAAACTTTTTTAATGGTTTTCTACAGCCAATAATATGCAATGCTAGTTTAACTCTTTTTATCAGTGGATTCTACAGAACATAAATTTCCCACAATTAGTAACTAAAGTTTAAGTCATACAAAAGATAGCCAGCATTTGCTTTACTATGATTGTTCTGGAAAATACCCAATAAAAATAAAGATAAATATTCTTTTGATTGTTGATCAATTTATAATGCCAATGAACATTTTTTTCAATTTAGGCTGTGCCTTATCCATTCAGAATAGCCAAACTCAAATTCACAAATATAGCCAGCTGAATAGAAATTTTGAGGATGTACAGTTTCAGTTTATGTTCTCTCAAAATAATACAGTTTCACACTTTCCAAGGAAAACTGCAATTTACAGTTTTCCAAAAAGCTGATTTCGGTCAGATGATTAAATGTCATAGGTGTCTGTTTTAGGTCAGCTAACTTTTGGCAATTTATTTATTTGTTAAATTTATTTCTTTTATATCCCACTATGGAATTACTCTAAAAGTAAATTCTTCCATTTTCCAGTTGTGTCCTACTCAGGGAGGGGGGGGGGGCGTAGAACTCATCTCTGTTTCTTAGCTGAGGGAACCAGCATTGTCTGAAGACATTTCCATTGGCTATGTGACCATCATGATCGTACGCCGAGGTACATGCAATGATGTTACCTTCCCACTTAAGTGGTTCCTCTTTGTCAACTCGCATTTGCATGCTTTTTAATTGCTAATTGGGCAGGAGGTGGGGCAAGTAGTGGGAGCATAGTACTTGGGTCTCAAAACCTGGGTTGTCAGCTTTTCAGAACATAATGAGAATACATCAAAGTGATAATCAAAAAGATGGGTGGGGGGCAGAGAGCAAGGGGGGAGGAGAAGTGTAGTTTGCCATCAAACCACCAGCCATCTCCAGTGTGGAACTCCCCCATTTAATCCCAGCCAAAAGTAGACCCAAGTCTTCAGGCTCTCGCGGAAGGATAGGAGGGTGATGGCAGATCTTACGTTAGAGGTAAGATATTCCAAAGGAGGTAAGGTGCAGCGGGAGAAAAGGCAGTTCTTCTGGATCCTGATAGTTGGGGTTCTTTAACTGACGGGATCCAAAGTAGGCCTTCCCTGTCGGCCAGAGTAGAATGGGGTTGTCCTAGCAGGATGACCTACACTATTAAGAGCTTTTAAGGTCATAACCCAGACCCAAATTATCATATACATAAGTTTTCTTTTGAGTGTTCCAGAAGATAAAGTTCTTTGATGACAATGGACTCTTCCGTCCTGCCCAAGTACAGACACTTACCTTTACGGATTTCTTCCCGAATCTGGGACTCCATCTCTTCCATCTGCAGCAGAGTTTTTTGCCAGTAACGCTCTGCCCGTCGGCTTTTGGTGCAAAACACAAATAGTGCTGGAATACAAAATGGGAAAAAGTGACTCCAAAGCCAAAATAACAACTGAATGTTTTGTATTAAACTAGTACTGGATTTATGATTATTTGTCACAAAAAAGTACACATAATATAATCTGCTATTCCAGAAATTATAATAACTGCTGCTATAATAGCTTTCCAATCAATTGAAAAGACAAACAATGATCAGAACTGGGGTTGAGATTTAGTCCATTGAGTTGTGTATCAAAAGATGTTTCCAGAGGATTAGGAAATTCAATTGTTCTTCCTATAGAAGACACCAGTTGTGACATCTTAGAAAATACCAAACACCAGAGGACTATACCTGCATTTAGATGTCAATATGTATTACATGTATTAAATATTAGCTGAATACTTGTAAAATATTAGCTGAAATAAAGCTAAACTCTTCCCTGGAAGCACTAGTAGTGAAACTGGATTTTAAACATTTTGGACATATACTTTAGTGTGAAAGCAGGAATAATAAATAATAAATTCTTTTTAATTGGAGAAATTAAAGACAATTGAAAACAAGGCTGTCAGAAGAGCAGATGGCTAGACACTATCACTGATGACACAAGCAAGCAATTACTGATAGGCCATCCTGGAGAAACTACATCTAATGGCTCAAAAAGTTATAGAAAAGACTGAATGACAACAATGTTAGGTGTATCACCCATTTAATTTAACCTATTTAATTTACATAATAAACCACTGAACTATGAAGTAGATGGATAATCCATGCATCTGCAAATATTAAATGTGTCATTTATTTATTATTTTGTTATTATTTAGATCTCCAAATGCCATAAAAGGAAATATTAAAATAAAATCAAAAGCTACAACTTTAATAAAATAAATGAAAGTAAAATTTTACAAAAAAAAAGAAGAAAGGCCTAAAAAGACTTGGAAAAGGAGAAGGTGTTTGCTTAATACCAGATGACCTCTCATTGAATCTCAACTGAGTATCTCTTGCAAGAGCATTCCAAACTGGTCACCAGGATTGAAAAGTTCTCTCTCTGTTATTCACTAACAAATCAGATAATAAGGAACTAAGAGAAGTTCTGGGAAGCAATTCAAAACCTGAAGAGCTATAAATGAAATAGGTGTTTTTCCAAAGAACTTTCCTCAAAAGCTTGAAGGGACTTTAAAAAAAATTGTACTATGGATTTGAAATGGATCTCAAAACAACAGAAAATCTTGCATCAGTTAAGAGGTATCTTATTGCGTGCAATCCGAATTGCTGTATTTTTAAAAAGTATTAGCATTTATTTTATTAAATCTCTGAACAGTCAAAGACAGAATGGCGTACTGTGCTAAAAAACCATAATGCCAAACTATAAGGTAAAGGTAAAGGTTCCCCTCGCACATATGTGCTAGTCGTTCCCAACTCTTGGGGGCGGTGCTCATCTTCGTTTCAAAGTCGAAGAGCACACGTTGTCTGAAGATGTCTCCGTGGTCATGTGGCTGGCATGACTAAATGCCATTGGCACACAGAACGCTGTTACCTCCCCACCAAAGGTGGTTCCTATTTTTCTACTTGCATTTTGTATGTGCTTTCAAACTGCTAGGTTGGCAGAAGCTAGGACAAGAAATGGGAGTGCTCTCTGTTATGCTGCACTAGGGATTTGAACCGCTGAACTGCCGACCTTTCTGATCGACAAGCTGAGCATCTTAGCCACTGAGCCACTGCGTCCCAAACTATACCTTAGCACAAAAGTAGGCAACTTATCTACTTTATCATCCTGAACCAAAATCTGCAACTGGTCTATTAAGGACTTTTGTGAAGGATCCATCAGTTGTATTTCAATGCCATCTGAAACCATACAGAGGCTCCCTAGCTTTAAATGCTACTTCTTCCTTTCTTCTCTTAGAATGAGAGTGGAAACTTCTGCTACCATTTTCAACTAATTATGAATTGTCTTTCTGAACCAAGGCAAATAGTTAGGTCTGGTATACTGAAACAAGCACTACTTGCAAACAAGAATTAAGGATAAGAAAATATAAGATTAAATATATGCTTCCTTGAGTCAAGTTGGACTCCTAGTTACTATATGTTTACACACATGTTGTTTACGTACATCATTATAGAAACAGTGCTTTCTTCTGAGATATTTTTCAATCTTGCTAACGCACTTGAAATTTCCTAGTGAATGTTAAAGACAATTACTCATTCAAACATTAAAAAAAAAATCAGTGCAGGACAGTGAAGCTAATGTTTACTATCACCTCCTTGCAATCAGAACAGAGAGAGGGGAAGCAGATTACACGAATACTGCTTATATTCTTTATGTTACATGTAAATTGATCTAATGACTGTGAACATCTGATAAAACCTCTCAGAACCTATCTTTGTATTAATTCTGGCACAATATTAACTATTTTGGCACAGAAAAAATATTAACGTTATAATCAGGCTCATTAATATGTAGCCTGCAGCAAAACTTGGCAGAATTTAACAGCACATAGCAATATGCAAGACAAATTTATGCCCAGAATGAATGACTAAAAACAATGAAATGAGGAAGTTAAACATAATTTTAATTAGCTGATTATTATTTAGTAAAAATACAATAAAAAAATAAATTGTATTTATATTTGCTTAACACATTTCTATAAATTTTATGAATAGCTTCGGCTCGTGGGGCAGAAAAGCAAGTTAAATAAATAAACTGAATAAGCAGAGATAATAATATTAATTGAATATAATTAAATTAAAACCACTAGAAATCATAATTGTACAATATCTATCGTATTAAGTGTATGTGTGGATTTTATATAAGGAATTACTGAAAACTGATCCGTTTAATAGATTTAAATCTGTGTAATGTAGTATATCTGATGGTAGCTTTGTACCAAGAAATAAAAACTTTCTCTTACAACCTTGCAATGTATAGTATATACTTCCAAGTCAGTTGGATATAGGAAATAGTATATAGGCCATTCTCGACCTATGGCATTTGGTCAGCAATCGTTATGAAAAGATATATAAAAGTTATGCTGAACAAATGGTGACTACAATCAGTCCTTGGAGCTCTGGCTGTCCCAACCCATTTGTCATGTCATGTGGTTGTGATCTGGGTACTTAGCAACCTGTTTGTACTTATGACCAATTGCCAACTGCCCCAGGATCACACGATTGACATTTGCAATCTTTTCTGCTGGTTTCCTTTAAAAGTCTGGGTACTTTTGAGTGCTCTCAGCCTCAGAAAGAGACCAGGGCAAAGAACATCAATTGCCAAGAAAACTGTCAGACAGGGACCTGTCTGTACAGTCACTAGCAGTCAACACTGATTCACAGTCACAAAATGAATACAATTTTTTTTTAAAAAATGATTAAAAAGCATAAATTAACAAATGATATGGAAGAAAAGCAGATGTCACTCTTAAAGTAGAAGAAAAGGGGAAAATATAGCCGATCTGAATAAAGGAGAAATGATCTCATGAAGTGGACTTAAACGAGTAGATTCCATGAAGCACATTACACAAAGGCAATTTTAAACATGAATAAAAGGGATATAAAATTGATGTCAAAAAGTATAAATCGATTTGATTTAGGAGGTGCTTGCACATTAAAAGTAGGAATCTCTAGGTTGATGATAGGTGTATGTTATGCTCCATTGAATGGCAGTGTTGGAAGAACCAAAAATAATTTAGGGGAAAGCAGAGATTGTTTGTTTGTTTGTTTGCCATTCATTCATTCATTCATTCATTCATTCATTCATTCATTCATTCAATTTATATGCTGTCCATCGCATTCTGGAAGCAATTCTAGGCAGTTTACAATAATTAAAACAATGAAAGATATTAAAGCAATAAATATTAACATTAATTTAGTTATGTTTTAATTGTGCTTAGATGACTCAGAGCATAAAAAATCTCTGTTTTTCCATAACTTATAAATGGCAAAAAATTAAAGGGGAATATATCTAAAAGCATGATTGATTTGGTTTGTTTATGATGAAACTCTGAGAAAATTAGGGAGTGTTAAGATGATAATGAGATGTTCTGATTGAAGGAAAGGCCATTTTGGAAGTGTTAAGGTAGATCATAGGAAGAAAAATAATGAGAAAAAAAGAAAGTTAAAAACAAGAATGAAATTATGGAGGGAAAATACGTATCCTGATTGAAAAAGAGAAAGGATTATAAAATTAATTAATCTCCTAAAAGAATGAACAAAAAGTGGACCCAAGCAGTGACATGCAGTCAGGTGAGGCAAGTGAGGCACAGCCTCACTGCTCTCATCATGAAAAGAAAAAAAATGTAAAAGGGAAAAGGTGAGTGATAAATTGAGGCTAGCTAGCTGCTGCCTCACCGTGAATGACTACCTAACTGTTTAAAAAAGCCTCTAAAAAAGGGCCCTCTACTATGAGGCAGGGGAACTGCATGCCTCATCTAGTCTGACTTTTTAGGTGTTTTATGATCGCTCGAGGGTTAAAGCGAGGGTTAAAAGCCTAAAAAAAATCCTGAAGTTGATATACTTTCAGTTATATACGCAGATATACGCAGTTCTCCTGCCTCATAGTAGAGGGCGCTCCTTCTTCCTGTGACTTAACTCTTCCCCTTTTCTTCCCTTCTCGCTTGCGATACAGTGACAATAAAGGGGGAGCGCAGAGATGTACCTTCATCTCTTCATTGATTTCCCTTTTTACAGGATGAGCCAGCTTCCTGCTTCTTTTATTTTCTGGAGGTCTCACTTCTTTCTCCATTTCTGCCATTTTTTATTTTATTTTATTTTNCCTCGGCTCTTACAGGATGGATAACTACGATCAACTATTTTGAAAGTTTGCATTATTAGAACACAAATGGATGGATTGTTTGGGAGGGCATTAATGTAAAACAAATGTGTACATCATGTAATGCTAACTTATGAGGAAAAATGTAAGCAGCAGGAATTTTCTTCACCACACAATTGTTAAGGACTTTTTGCAGCAGCTGTTTCAAATATATGTTGTGATTAAAGGGGGTAATTGAAAAACTAAAAACAGATCTAACATCATATATGTCTCATGGCCTAATGCTACAAGAGAGTTAGTTAATATCTGTACAAAAACAACTTGTATGAGTGGATATGTTTCACAGAAACAAATTAGGTACATTTTGAAGATATCTGATTAGCATATTTTACACACACACACAAAGATGATACTCATATTTTTTTTAAAAATCATTTCTCTACTGGAAATAGGAATAAGCCTTCAACAATTACAAAAAGTTATGATTTATTTTCTGTGATTCTAGAAATCTGTTGAATGGGCTTTTGGAAATTAAAAGTGTGGGTAGAATTAGAAGTTATTGTATCATCAACAGATTGAATAAAAATCTCATTACGGTCACCATTTATAAATGAGCCACTAAACAACGTAATGAAAACTCTGTGGAGTTATAGTTCCATAAAACAAAATTGATTTTTGGAAAGTCTATTTTGAATTTTTATTCATTAACACTGCCCTCTTCATGAAAGGTTTTTGGAAACAGATGATGGAAAGCAAATAACTGATGAATCTCTTAGGCATATACCATCAATCAATATGCTAAATTGTCTAATTTCATCAAGAAAGGAACTTTTCTAGTTTGCTATGTCATACATTAAGGAGCAAAGACTGGAAATGGGTAAAGTACTTGAAGACAGACCAAGTTTTAGAGTTTTACAGCAAGATATGTTGGGTTGCTGTGATTGTTTATGCCTGATCATTACCATCTTTCCTTAGCAGCTCAACAGAAGACAAGTTTTGCTTCTTACACTGAACTCTTCGCTCAGCTGGAAACTGTAGGGATTCAGGGATCAGAATAGGTACACAAACAATCTGAATAGCTACAACTTCGTATCAACCCTAGAACAGAGGACAAAACCCTTCTTTCAGATATTGAATAAAAGGTCCTGCTAAAATAAAAGCAGGTTTTTTTAAATAAAAATAAATAGGCTCACTATAAAATTTAAAAAGTCATGTTTCCTTACAGCAGAATATTTTTAAAGAAAATACTACCATTCACAATTGATATTCAACACTGGTACCAAAATGAATCCCTGCATGCTTGCTGTTCTACTACCAAAAAACCATCAAAAGATAACGATTTTTGAAGAAAAATCTGTTGCTGCAATTAGATTAGAGTTAGCATTAAAAAGGAAAGACTTAGAAAGATCAATGAGAGCCATATCGATAAATGCTGGCTATTGAGAATCACAGATTATTGGAATTGGGTAGTTAAAAGTGGTAAAAGTCAGAGCTGAAGAAGCTGCTTGGATGAGAAGCGAAACATCTTCAAAGAAAAACCAGAAAGTCCAGTTGCCTCTTGAAAAAGCAACTTTGGTAAAAGACAACTTTAATAAGAAAATTGGAAAAATATTTATAAATGTATTTATCTAAAATTTTCTGATGGTCCTAATAGTTTGTGGTCACCACCTCCAACTTTCATCTCCAGTTTAGGAGAAACAACTTTTGGATATAGCAATAGCAATAGCAATAGCAGTTAGACTTATATACCGCTTCATAGGGCTTTCAGCCCTCTCTAAGCGGTTTACAGAGTCAGCATANTTGCCAGAAAGCACAAATTGAAAGCAAGTCTGATTTTTTAAAAAGAAAATAACAGAGATGGCAAAAAAATGCATCTGAAAATAAGATTATTTATAATTTTGGATAACGTATTATATTGTCAAACTCAAAAGCTTTTTGATGCTTAATTGTGATCATCATCATCACTCTCTCTCTCCTCCCCCCCTCAGAGGGACTCCCATCCCTTGTAGAAAACATAACAAGGAACTCCTATGCTCCCCCCCATCTCTTTTTTTGTTGTTGTTGGCGCATATGGTCACCGCATATGGTGCTCGGAGATATGCTCTTGCCCACCACCCCTTCGAAACACGCAAGGATGGGACAAACAGCGTGGATCCTTTTATTAAAAGCCGCTGTATTACAAAGGCATTATAATAAAAAGATTGTGATGATGTCAGTGCCTCATCAGCCATAAACCTCACTGCATGTCACTGGACCCAAGGAAAGATGATGTGGATATTGCTTGGATGAGTGAAAAATTCTCTGTTACAGAATGCACTGAAAAGTCTAGAATTGCAGAGAAGAAAGTTTGGAAAAGAATGTCTGGTCAAATGATAAAATATTGTAAGTAGCTGTGGAGAAGAATAAATACATATAAAGAATGTATATACAGGAACAATGCTGCAAAAATGAGCATGGTAGAAAAACTTTATATAATGGCCAGGTTGACAAAAGTATAATGCCAAAGAATGTAAAAAAGTGTAAGGAATGATAAGGTTATAGAGAAAGAGAAAATTCAATGATTCTGACATGAATAAAATTTGTTTTGCAAAGGGATGAAAAGGCTAAACAAGAAGCCTCCAACAGAATGGATGGTATTAAGAATTAAAGGTGAGGATTAAACGTTAGTGAGCCAAAGAACATTTTAGACATTTTATCTGAATGATAATGATATGTTAATGAGTGGAATTAATGAAACATTAAAGTCCAAAAAAATGGATTAAAATGAAATCATATATGCTATGGGAATGTTTTAAAAAATTAATGCTGCAGGTATAAATTCAAATGTTACAGGACAATTATTAAACATGCCTAAGAAGACATATAATAGATCCCTGATCAAGATATTCAGATAACCAAAATTTGGGAAGTGTGCAAACTAGATTTTTGCTCTTTAGCAGAAATGTACGCATGACAGTTTATTGTATGTTTGTTGATCTAGAGAAAGCGTATGATAAAGCAAAGGAACTTGATTGATAATGACTTTTTTTGCAATTATAGAGTTAAAGCTTGGTTGCTGAATGCATAGATTGTAGATGACAGAAGTAATGCATGTGATAGATGATAGAAATAATGCATGTATCAAAATAAATGAATTTGTGTACCTAGGCATAATGTTTCCTAAAGATGGGGAAATGGTTGAAGAAATATTAAGATGTATAAATTACAGTAGAAAAGTGATAGATAATATATGATATCTTTGAGAAATGAATATTTACTGGAAGAAGTAGAAACTGTTGTGTATCAGATTGTGGCTCTATTCACTTTGTTATATGGAAATTAGAATTGGATATGTCAGGAGGAACATAAAAGGTGAATTATAACCAGAATAAGGCAACAGGTGTGGTGAAATGAGAAGAGTCAAGAATGAATGGGTGTTGAATGAATATGGAATGAATAAACAGTGAGAGATGAATGTTAAGATAGTCTGGTGATAGAAAGAGAATGAAGACTGTATTGGGAAATAAGGTACATGAAAGAAGAGTGAATGGATAAAAAAATAAAGTGGGAGACTGAGAAAGTGGTTAAATGGATTAGAAAATACACTCAAAAAGAAAATACCAAGAAGCTTTAAAAAACCAAAAGAGTCATATAATTCACTTTTCATGTTTCTCGGGGAGGTAAGAGGGTCCACTTCCACAATAAATATGGATGCAGGACAGGTTGTATTGAAATAAATTTGTACAGGAGTAGACAGCTGATATTCTACATGCCGTTCACAAGATTATTTTCTGCATGTTCCAGAGCCACCAAATAATTGTCAAACCTTAATAGTTTAACTTCCTGCCAGTTTAAATGATGAAATGACACAGTTATGGTGTGTTTAGAGTCTGGACTTATCGGCCTAGAAAAAGGGGAAAACAAGAGACTTTCATATTGAAATGGAGAAACCTACAAAGTTGAGTTCTGCTCACATGTACAATGTCATCATGTTCCTGCCTTCCTGCTTTACCTCCTAAGGTCAACATCTTTTTAAAATCCTTAAATCCCAAAATAATTACTGAAAATGCGGTCATCCCATAAAAGTTGCCCACTCAACCTCCTACTAAGGCAGTGTTTCTCAACTTTGACAACTTTAAGCCCTGTGGACTTCAACTCCCAGAATCCCCCAGCTGGCTGGGGAATTCTGGGAGTTGAAGTCCTTAGGACTTAGGGTCGCCAAGGTTGAGAAACACTGTACTAAGATAAGCACATTATTTTATAGATATTAACAATTTCGGTGTGTTGAAAATGCATGCTTAACATACTTGGAGTCAGTATGGTTTCTTACCTACAATAGAGAACAGGAGTAAGATGCTACAGATGACTATTGAAACTGTGATAGCTGTTTCACTTCCTCCAAGATGCAACATAGCAATTGTTTGATTGAATTTCCCAACTTGGATCTAAGAAAGAACAGAGAGAAGCTATCGGCCAGTTATTTAATGAAAAGAAAGAAGAAATAAAGAAATCACATTGCAAGGGAAAGATGCTTGACACGAACGCCTGAACTTTGCAAAGTATATAGTTTCTAATTTTGCAATAATCACAATAATGTAACTTAATAGCAGGACTTATTTTGATTAGCATTTCCAGATTGGACAACTGTTATCACAGGCCTGTGTATGTGTACAAAGAATAATGAGTTTGGGGATAACGATCCTCAGACAGATTGACAAAAAAAATGGAAACAGCTGCACAGAGATTACATGATAATACTACTAGGATATAAAGTAAAAGAGTAAAGTTAATATTCCTGCTCAGCAAAGAATCCTTGTAGAAAGTATATCAACATTTTTAGGTTTTATTTTTTCCTGTTGCGTTTAGAAGTATAGATACCTTTTCAGGAACTCTCTGTACCCCAAATATGAATTTATCTATAAAATAACTTACTTTCAGTAAATTTTATTTTGCTTTGAAGTTTATCCATTGAATTTCCAAAGGTGCTTTTTCAGGAGGCAACTGGACTTTATTGTTTTTTCCTTCTGAAGATGTTCTTCTTCTCATCCAAGACGCTTCTTCAGCTCTGACAGGATAATGGGGAATGGAAGGATCCCCACTATCCTGTCAAGAGCTGAAGAAGCTTCTTGGATGAGAAGTGAAACATTTCAAAAGAAAAATCAAGAAAGTCCAGTTGCCTCTTGAAAAAGCATCTTTGGGACAACCATGACCTGGATGACTGAGAATCTCTACAGATTTATTGCATTTCCAAATTAAAATAATAACCATTATTACTACTAATGATTTTTAATTTATTATTTAATTTGTTTGTTATAACACTCCCCTGTAATAGACCTTGGGTGGTTTACAAAATATAATTCAAAGTTTCGACAATAAAAAACATAAGCAAAACAAGACATTCTGTACTACAACAGCTACTATAAAAACACACATACCCCTATTAACCTCTGGCTTTGTTTTAAGGACTTTTTAGAACCCCATGAGAATGGGCGCCCTCCATATCTTTGGGGGGAGGGATGCTGTTCCAGAGAGCAGAGGCAGAGACAGAGAAGAGATGCTTCCTTGGCCTCCTAAGTAACAATGCTTAATTGATGGGATCTCGAGCATACACACTTTACCTAAATGTCCTGGGAAGACTGAAACAATGGGAGAATGGTGATAGCCAGGCTCTATGCCATGATGAGTTTTAAATGATAACAAGCAGCACCTTGGAACTGCACTGGAAGCCAACTGTAGCCAATGCTGCCTCCATGGCAGTGCTGACACATGGGCATGACAAGGATGATCTCCATTAAAGCTCAAGTCATTTTGAACTGGATGGTCTTCAAGCCCCAGGTACAGTTCATTGAAACAGTCCAGATGTGAGTTGATCAGGGTGTGGATGACCATCTGACGAGTCTCCTGATCAAGAAAGAGGCACAACTGGCACAAAAGATGTACCTGTACCTGGTCACAGCTGCCACATGCTCTTTGAAGAGCAGCAGAAGGAGGAGGACTTCTAAAATTGTTCATATCTCTTGAAGGAGGAAATGTAACCCCATTCAAGACAAATGATGGGAATGTCATGAACCGAGTGTTCTGATCCAGCCTTTGCAGAAGCAAGAAACAGACTCCTCACAAAGAAAAACCCCTCTTTATTTACACCCTGTGAATTAACTGCATTCACCCACAAAGTCCAGGCAAGAGTCCTGCAAGGAGTTAACGGACGAAATAGGCTTTACCAGCTTGTTAAGACAATTGCAAGACTGTGAGCTCCCAGCCAAAAGGTTGCAAGTTAAGTCAGTTCTAATAAACAAATCTCAGTTCTGACAAGGCAGTCTTTGTCGCACGAAACACAATGAGCAAAATCTCCAGAAATGTGACTGGTTGTCTGCTATGACCACCACTCGTCTTTCCTCCTATTTATTCCCTAGCCAGGGCCATTCAGCATCAACATTTGTTTTGCTTCCTTGTCCTTCGTTGTTCACCTCTCCTATCTGCTCTGTGCACTCACACATCTGGAACAGGCCCCAGCTGTTTCTCCTCATCATCATCTCTGACTCCAAATGTAGCTGCATCTTCAGCCGCTGCAAAATGCCAGACAGCCCTGGCTCTATAACTGTGTCTGATGCTGAGCATCCATCAGAGCCTTCCCCAGGCTCCAGAACTGGCCCAAGTTCTTCCCCAACCTCCTCATCATCTGAGTCTGCTGCCAGCGGAGCTGGTGGGCGACAACCCTGGGAGACCAAACAACTATAACCACTTTGGTCTGGATTGAGTTAAAGTCTATTTTTCCCCATTCAGACCCAAAACAGCCACCAGTTCCTAAATAGCTTCACATGCACTTGTTAAACTGGATCTCATCAATATGCTGATGATACCAAGCCATGAGCTGACAGAGGACTTCACCTAGTGGAATCTTGTAAATGTTAATCAGGAGAAGAGAGTGTGTTGAACCTTGAATCACCCAATCAGTGATGGCCTATGGTTCTTATCTCTCCCCTCAACACTAACTAGAACCACCTGATGAAGAAATAGATGAAGCACTGTAGCACAATGCCTCCCAATTCCTACCATTGGCTCAGAAGGTCCATGCTATATTGAACAATATTGTATCTCTATCATTTTCCATGCAATTTTGATCAAATATATCTTTTGGTCAATGATATTATGTTGGTAAAATGGAATGGAAATTAAAGAGAAAGAAATGAAATAATTTAAGTTAAACAGCAGTAGAGATATGAGAAATGGGTGAGAAGGAAATTACGTCTAATAATTTCCAGTATAATCATTTCCAGCAAGTATCGTGATTCAGCTCAAGGCAGGAATGGACCCATATAATAGGCTCATAAGAAGATCCAAGAACTCAGAATAAATAGAATGTGTTGAAGAAAGCTGAAAGCCAGTGCCAACAGAATTTCAGCAAGTGCAGTTAATAATTAGTTATAAAGCCAAAATTCTAAAAATGCCAATGTTTAGTTTTTTTAGCTCATACTACTTAATGGACTACTTGATACTCTCTTTGTTTCCATCTGTCCTTTGCGCTTATAATGGCCAGGTATGCTCTGATCTGGTTTCTCATTCATAGAGTGAGAAATACAGTAATTCACTGTTTGCCACTTCTGCATATCAAGAAGTCTAACTCAAGTCCAGAGGAAGATTCAGGTGAAGAAACTGATTTATTCACATATCTTAAATGCTGGGAAAATATGGTTTTAGGCTTCAGATTTTGAAGAGAAAAATCAATATGTATTATAGCAATTAAATAAAATGAACTTTCCATATCCTCCTTTAATTAGATAAGGAAAACATGTAGCTTTATTCATAGCTTTTAAAAACTGGCAGAACATTCTAGCCTATTACAATATAGGGTGTACAGCAGCCAACAAAAACAGAATCTTGGCAGTTTTCACATGCTTTATTTAAAAAAAAACGACTCTCCACTGATAGAGTTTTGATTATAAGATGAATGGAGAGAATAAAAAAGAAGTAGAACCAAGAAGGGGAAAAACTGAAATTGTAAATGGAGAGCATTTATAAGCAATATTATAGCTGTGAACTCTAAAATTATTTGTACCTTGCATTGCATGTCCCTAAGCACAGTGCATTATTCCTATTGTTTAAAGCAGTCTCTCTTTCCAGGACTCTACTTAAATTGCATAAATTTCAAAGAGATGACTCTTTAAAGCAGTTGCACACTTTTTCAGACTTATGGAGAAGAGTGAAAAAAAAAGAGAGGGTCATTTATAAATAGCAGAAAGGTGGTCTACAGACAAAAGATCTAAACCATTGGCACAGTGGTACAACACTAGAATATCGTATTTTATATCAGTTCAAATGAAAAAAAAAACTGAGGGTTAGACCACGTGCTATATAGCAATAGCACTTAGACTTACAGTATATACTGCTTCATATTGCCCCAACAATCCGGCTCCTCATTTTACCAACATATATATGTTTGCTTTTTAAAGCGATTGCATAGACACCAAACCAGGTTCGCAATGGCAATATACGCAGAAGGGATAACCCTTTCCTTCCGGCCCAGTATCCTACCATAAATCCTTTACAACTGTAATTTGTTCCCAAAGATATTACTTGGGGAAAAAAATAGGTAAATAATAGCTGGGAAAAAGGGGAAGATTTTGAGTAGATAATATATTGCAGAGGAATGGGTTAACACTTCCAAGCAATGGATAGGTTAGATTTGGACTGAAATTCAAATGACTGCTTATTCTCATAAATAGTTGCAAGTACTAGGTGCAACTTTTAAAAGTAGGCTTAATATCCAACATAAATGGAAAATACCACCAATCCTTAATACTAGTTATGATGACTGGCCTTTCTAATTCAGCAATAATAGCTTCCATCTTGTTTTATGGAAGCAAGCTAAATGGATTCATGGAAAGGACAGCTTTTAAGCAGAAACTTGACATGGACATCTAAGAAAAATAAATGAGAAAGAAGAAAAGAGGCAATGATGACATTGGAAGGAATGATACAGACTTTGTACTAGATATCAATGAAAGCCTGCAAAGGAAAAGAGAGGAACATAAGGTCACCTAAACATTATAGAATTAGGACTCAGCAAGGCAACTTGGCTGTGACTTCAGAGCTTCAGTAGTATTGATTCTGCGATTTTCACTTCCAAAAATTAATATAGGTAGTCCTTAACTTTATTTAGTAGTCATTAAATTCATTTAATGACTGTTCAAAGTTACAATGGCACGGAAAAATGTGACTTATGATCATTTGTCACAGTTATGAGAGCTCTCTCTCTCTCCCCTCTCCCTCCCTCTGCTACTCACCTAACAACCAACCAACCAGTTTGAAATAAAGAATACATTTTCTAAAACTTGTCATCCTTGTTGTTAGACAAGCCTTATAATATAGATGCCAAACGTGTGAAAAAATCACCCATATTTTACCCATATACAGCTGATGTGATATGACTAGTCTGGGATTGGAT